TATATATATATATATATATATATATATATATATATGTATATATAAGGAGCACATTATTGTTAATTAATCGTTAATTAATAATTTAATTAAACTGAGAAGTCATTAAAATATTTCTGAAAAATTTATAAGATTTTATAAGATTTCTGAAGATGTTTTGAATTAATTAGAATAAACTGAGAAGTCGGCAAGACATCGCTGAAGATTTTATATCGCTGTGTATGTAAAATTAGGGTGATCTGATGTTCTAATATAAAAATAGGTACGCAATGCGTACATGTTGCATGCCTTCTGAGACTTATGATGCGCTATAGCACTTATAACCTTTGATACAACTGGCGTGAAACTTAAAATATTGATTCAACAAGTTTAATAATATCAATATATTTATTGAAAAATAGCTTTTATGTCAAAATAAGAAACTTAAGATTCTCACACGAATAGGCAATGTTTTTATGAGCGACCGTTCATCGTTAGTTGCAAGCGACGGAAATAACAAGGTCAAGGTCGGTCAAGGTTTTATCGAAAGCGATTGACTGTTAGATTTCCTTTACAAATTTATAACTAAATATTAAACTTTTTTCCTATAGATTTAGCTTGATTGCATCTTTTAAAACGTATGAAAAAACGTGGAAACGGTGAATTACTATAATAGATTGAAACTGATTATTAATTAAACTTTATATAATATCTCATTGAATTCTGATAGTTTAATTGGCTCTTTATGGTCACGTGATATTGAATAGAAAATTCCATTTCCCAAGAGTACAATGGAAGACGTTCCATTGCACTCTTGCGAGTGCAATTGTACTATACGGTTTATTCAATTGCACTCTTTGTGTTTTCAATAAATCGCATCCGTCAAAATGCTTCTCGTACGGTGATCGCAGTTTATTTTAACCCGATATTCGAAACTCAGTAAATGGGATTTAATGCCAATACGACTCGTCAAAATGGAGAAAGCTTACAGTGAACTTTTTAATATTAGTCTATTCTGGTATTATATAAAACAAATAATGAATGTTTATTCGTGCAATGGTATAAGAATATTTTCATTCGGTGAAAGATGGAATGTTCCATTCAACTCGGCTGTCGCCTCGTTGAATGGAACATTCCATCTTTCACCTCATCAAAATATTCTTACCATTGCACACATAAACATTCATTATTTGTATAATGATTGAAATTGTCGACGTAGAAAAATCATAAAGGTACTAGTCAGCTAATACGACCTGTATGGTCGTTTGAGTGATTGAAATGAGTTAATTTACACTATATCGAATGTCATGCTGAATGTCATGTTGAATCTTATGCCTACTTCACAATGGTTGCTATTTCGTTGTATTAAATTTCAATACTATTTATAATTCAAATTTTGTTTGATATTTATTGTATATTTCATGTTATTTACAAAATGTGCTGTAGTTTTGAAGCTTTGCACAGTATATAATTATTGCGAGCACAATGGCTCCGTTTCAGTATATAAAAATTGAGTGTTTTGATAGCGTGGGCTTTGAGGCTTTCACGATATATGAATATAAAGAAACGCCTGATAATCAGTGCGAGCACAACGGCTCCAAAATCACAACAAATAACAAAATACAAGGTAAGTTAAAAACAGCAAAGCTTTACCTACCTCGACCTATTTTCTAAAGCGCTCAATTATGTAAATTTTCCGCAAATAATCAATATTTCTTTGCGTTTCCTCGACGAAAACTCAGCATGAAAATTCTCGTCGGAAAAACTCGGTATTAGTCGTCTTTTACGAATCTGCCACGTGACTGGTACGCTCACCACCGCTCACCGCTCACCGCCGCTCACGACCACGACACGAAATTTAGAGCTATATGAAAGTTGCATGCCATATATGGCATGCAACAAAAACTTACTTGAAAATGTAACTTCCTAACTGAGGAAGGGTGAGTCTACACAGAAACTAATCTAAATGATGTGATTTTTTTTAATAATTCAGGCAGACTAATTGGATTGAAACTTTAAAAAGGGCTAGCACAATCTTACCTGAACAATTGAATCCATCCCCTTCGAAGCCTTGTTTACAGAAACAGTTAAATGATCCTACTGTATTGTTACATGTTGCGTTATGTCCGCATGGATATGATAGGCATTCATTGACATCTACAATCATTAACGTCGATAAATAAATTAGGAGCACGCAGTTAGTGTTAATTGGTCTATAATTAAATTAACTAATTAAATTGAACGGAGAGGTTGATTAAATATTTCAGAAGATTTTTTAATATCGTATAAGATTCTTGAAGATTTTTTAAATTAATTGAAATAAACTGAGAACTCGGTAAGATATTTCTGAAGATTATATGTCGCTATGTTTGTAGATTAGGGGTTCTGATGTTCTAATATAAAAACTTACCTGAAAATGTAACTGTTTAACTGAGGAAGTGTAAGTCAACACAGAAACTAATCTAAATGTTGCGATTTGTTTAATAATTGAGGAAGACTAATTGAAACGCAACTTGAAGAGGGCTAAAGCACTATCTTACCTGAACAATTTACTCTATCCCCTTCGAAACCTTGTTTACAGGAACAGTTAAATGATCCTACTGTATTGTTACATGTTGCGTTATATCCGCATGGAGATGACAGGCATTCATTGACATCTACAATCATTAATGTCGATGAATAAATTAGTAGCACACAATTAGTGTTAATTGGTATATAATTAAATGAACTAATCAAATTGAACGGCGAAGTCAATTAAATATTTCAGAATGTTTTTTTATATTTTATAAGATCCTTGAAGATTTTTTAAAATAATTAAAATAAACGGAGAAGTTGGGATGACATTTCTGAAGATTTTATATCGCTATTTTGTAGATTAGGGTAATCTGATATCCTAATATAAAAACTTACCTGAAAATATATTTTTTTAACTGGAGAAAGGTGAGTCTACAGAGAACCTAATCTAAATGATGTGATTTTTTTAATAATTCAGGAAGACTGATTAGATTGAAATTTTAAAAACGGGCTTTCACAATCCATAGTTAATAGAGGACAGGATTTGGAAGGTCGGCAAACTTCAAAGGCTTTCGATCTAATTAATTTCAGATGTTGGAAAGGTACGTCACGTGACATTTCGGGTGCGTCAAATTCAGAAATTACTATAGCGTAGTATTACAGAAATATGCTATTGTGCTTGTAAATTTTAAAATAAGGCATTGTTGTTCTTGTTATAGCTTCGACAAGTTAGGCATACGATTCAGAAAGCAAAATTCTTCCAATTCTGAGTGCTCGAGACGCAGATACAGCGACGGAGGCGATTTTCATCGAACTATGTACCTGCTGCAAATCAGCGCGTGTGAATTAACTGGAGAGATATCGCGTTATGTTGAAGAAGTAAGTCCTGTATACTGTGTCCATTTAAACAATATGTTGTGAGATGCCTTAGACTATATATTCGACTTATATTTGTCGTTTAGATTGAAGGATTAAAGCAATTCCTGTGCGAATATCGACGCAGTATTAAGCACTGGACAAATTCTACATAGCTAGTAGCCTACTGCCAAACTAGGAAAACAAAACCCATGTTTATATATGACTTATCACGCATGAGAAGGCATTGTCGATCATTCGAGGGGTAGGGAAAAGGCAAGAATATTTTCATCCATGCTGAGAAGATAAAGTTGTGCTTTTGATGCTGATGAATATGCCAGAACGGTTAATTTCTTATTTGATATTTCCTCTGTATGGTACAATATTGACGTTAGGGTATTAAACGTAGTTCTTATTCCTCTCCAAACGCTTTGTAGACCAACTGTTGGAAGCCAGAAGATTTTACCTATGTGCAAACGATTATATACCCAGAAATATGTTTTTAATGTTTTTATTCCACTAGTAATTATCAGTGAAATCGGAAGAGCTTGGACCACTTGCTTATGTTGCTGGGGAAGGGCCCACAAGCAGGTTACCCTCCCCCCCCTTCCACCACCGGAAGTGATTCAAGCGAATGACGTCATCAGGAGAGTACGTCTAGGCGTTCGTACTTAGTGTACGTACTTAGCGTGCGTACTTAGCGTTCGTTGCGTTCGTACTTAGTGTACTCCAGGCGTTCGTACTTAGCGTGCGTCCAAGCGTTCGTACTTAGTGTACGTCCAGTTTAGTAAGCATTACGTAATTGTATTGCACATGTCCTGACCAAGTATGCGTTCTTCAAGGCCGAATAATGTTGACGAAGTTTCGCCTATGGAATTTCGGAAGCTATGCAATTTGTTAGAGACAATATTTGCATAAACTGTTTCTTGCGAGGTTTATGAGCTTTTCGAAGAGAGGTGCTGTGGTTGTAAACTAAATCGCTTTAGTCAGAGTGAGTGTCTTTTGTTATCGTATGAGGAGAGATCGCAGATGTATGATTTGGAAGTCATAGAGCGAGTTAGCAAAAAAGACGTGGTATGGAATAAGGTTGTTGAGGTGACCAAAGTTTTAGAGCTTCAGTGGGATGAAAACGTGTTTGAATATTGGAACCAATTGAGGAGAGACCCCATGTATGTTAAATCAATGATGAGTGTGGAGAACAGTGAGATGCTGAGTATTCTAGACCAACTTTGTAACTGCAAACAGGATTGTTGTGATGACCCACTTGAACCTGGGGCTATGGTCTTTTTTTCAATGCCCCCTAGTTTTAAGTATACTGTGAAAGCGACAGGCGAGCAATTTAGAAGTCATGAAGAAGATCATTATGAGGCATATGTGTAATATTTGAGAAGTAAACTATGAGATTCAGTGTAAATATGTTAATAATCCAGTTTCGTTTTTATTCTTTTTTGTAAAATTGGTGGTTCTTAAAAGAACCGGTGTTTTGGGTTTGTCTTTACTGTTGCAGCCACATCGCAAAAGCCTCTACTTCCACTTTTGCGCAGTGTTGATAAGCGTTGCTTTCCAGGTGGTTCCCACAGGTTTCTCTAACCAGATCAATTGATCAAATAGATTTTCAGCTTTGGGACAATTAAAGCATTCCAAATTTACGGCCGGAATACGGAGACTCGCCAGCAAATCCCTTTCGTAATGTCCGCCTTTGAAGGCAATTGTAGAGTTTGAATCTATCTGTATTTCACGGTAGAAATTCTCTACAATTGCCTGCAAGTCCGAAATTTGAAATGCTTTAGTGCCCCGTGGAACTCCGAACGGGAGTCTATGTATATTCTTCTGGACGAAGTTACACGTTCTCTTGTCTTTGTCGTTGAGCTCGTTCAAGTGTAAGCCAATATCGAAAAAGAACGACGAGGCTTCAGAGTCTCCGACCTTTATGACTCCCAACTCCTTACAGAAAAATTTCTTTCCAATTTGAAATCCGTCCATGTCAAGGATCCCAACGATGTCTGCTTTACACTGCATGTTGGCTGATTGATTGTGATGTGAATTAGATTGTTTGAAACACTAATCTGCGTTCTTGCGTGCGATATAACTATCGCGTGTACAAAACGTTAATCCATGTGTTAATTTATGCATGCAGTCAACCAACGCGGTAGCTTTGGAAACAAAAATTTGCTCTTAAAATCAGTGCGATTTATATAGGGACACCTCTCAAAGTGTCCTGCAAGCAAGTCCCGGGCGTCCCATGCATATGAGCACATGCTCATAAGTGCTCATGAGCACATGCTCATCTGCTCATAAAACTGCAATACTGCTCAATAGCAAGGCATTTCTGCACAGTCAGTGCTAACGGAATGAGCTGCCAATTTTGCGGAAAGCAATTTAATCGTGGTTACAATCTACGAAGACACGAAAAGGAATACTGTCCCCTAGGTGCACAAGAAAGAAACATGTCTCAAACGGACTTGGATAGCCAGGAAAGGGATTTTCAAGACGACGTTTCGATAACTTCAACTGAAGTGTCTGAAATTTCGACGATGACTGATAATGAGTCAGAAACTGAAGAGGAAATGGATCCTTGGATACCGTTAATAGAAGAAGCAAAGCAAATAAGTAATATAGCATTTGAGGAAATGAAAGAAAGCCTTATCAACAGTGGTCTAGATGAACAATCCGCTAAGGACAAAGCTTACTCTAATATTCTTCCTAAACTCCAGAAGGAACTGGAAAATATTTTTATGGAGCATCTCGTGTGGATGAAACATCTAAAGAAAGATCCAGTTCATAAGAAGATTATGCACACAAAAAATGCACTTGTGGAAAACGATTATTTTGATCCAGAAGAAGCGTTAGAAGCAGCTGTTGATATGAGAAAGTTTCTTATAAAAAGGCTTTTAAAGGGTCACAAATTTGATGAGGAGAATGATGATGATGACGAGAATGATGATGATTAGACTCGATTAACAGGATTGAAGTCATGTATTCGAACAGTATTAGCAAGTCAAAAAACATACTAGTATAGGCCCAGCATGTAAATTGTGAGTCATTCAATAAATTGCTTTTTTAATTACTTCTCTTTTCTTGTCATTTTTACATGGGTCAGGCGGGTACAAATCAAAATGGCAAAAACATGCGAATACGAAAATGTATACATTTGTGTACATAAACTTTGCAGTGGCTTCCACGAAAAATGTACACCCAGTCTTCGTGCCTAAACGGTTCTTATGAGCAGATGAGCATTTGCTCATGAGCAGTTATGAGCAGGTGCTCACACGTTCATGCAGGATGAGCATATGAGCATGTGCTCATGAGCAACTATGAGCATGTGCTCATACGCTCATCGCATAAGATTGTATACCCGACATGATTTTGAAAATCTAACAGCGCAAGATGCCTTTGCGTCACTCGGATAAATACGTCTTTCTTCACTTGATAGATGGTGAATGTCTGCCAAATGATTTGATAATTTGCAAAGGTTTTTCTTTCCGCACAGCAGACAGTCTTTACGCGTTCGCGGCATCGAGCGAAATTATTCCTTTTATCAAACGGGACGCAGGGACATTGCTACGGGACGCACGGGACTTGCTTGCGGGACACTTTGAGTGTGTCCCTATATGCGGGACGCAGGGACATTGCTACAGGACGCCCGGGACTTGCTTGCGGGACACTTTGAGAGGTGTCCCTATATGCGGGACGCACGGGACTTACTTACGGGACGCATTTTAACGTGTCCTTGCGTCCCGTAAGACTGTTCTTATGGCTAGACCCATATAGGTTACATAAAACGAAATCAAACGCCATGAACACATTGTTCTATTTACCAGTTTGACATAAGTAGCGTAAGGATTAAACTATAGATTGGTATCACTGAATACGTCACTAACATACTGTAATTATTTAAATCAGTGTGAACATACAGTTGCAAACGGAAATGCATTTAAAGTTATCGAAGCTGTCAAATCATTTACATCACTTAAAACGAAATCAAACGCCATGAACACATTAGTCTATTTACCAGTTACAGGATGTCTTTTCATTATAACACTACGCATCAGTTGCTTGCAGTATCCGACCTTAAAGTCAACACTGTCTGCTCGTTTGATTCTGTTATTGTTGACGGTAAATTTTCTGGGAGAACCAACCGTTTTTCAATGGGTCCATAATTCTTAATTGTCTTGCTATTGTACCCCATTTGAAAATGGCCCTCCAGATTTAAATCATTACGACCAAAGCTAATGCCGAATCTGAACATTTTCTGTCTATTATGATCTTTGTTTCTCCTGACTTTATCAT